ATATTTAAAAATTTTAGTTAATTGTATTTGAATTTTTAAAATTTTATTCATTATAATTGAATATTAATTAATTATATGTAAAAGATAAAAAAATTTATAATTTAATATTAATTAATGGGGAATGGAGATTCCCGCGGGGAACGGAGATAAGGGGCAAAATCTGCCCCCCGTCAAAAATCCCCACGGGGATCACGGGGACGGGGACGGGAAGGGACTCCCCGTCGCCGTGGAACTCTGATAACACCCCTATCCAGAAATCACATTAAACCTTAACCAATTCGGAATTGAGTCGAGTCGGATCCACATGAAGAGAAACTCTTTTAACGCTTATTTTTCAATTCATATGACTTAAACTCAAGATTTTATTTAAAAAGAATCTAATTCTTATCATTCGAATCAATAAATCATTAGTAATTTATTTAAATAATAAAACAACAAAATCGATGCATTTTCCCTCGTTCCCCTAAAATCATTTCTCTCAAACCCAACGTAGCCTCTACCAGGGGTGACTATTTTTCGAAGCTCATAAGCTCATATTTTTTCTTATGAGACGATGATGGAAGTAATTTTATTTTTTGAAATTTTAAGAAAATTTTGTTTACCTCACAAGTCTCCTTGTGGATCATTATATAATTAAAAGGGATAAATTTTTATTTTTATAAATTATAATATTTATTAAAAAAATTAAATTAATTTTTACCCAACTTAACTTAAATTTCCTAACCCAATCCCCTTTCTCCCCAAGCCTCAAACACAATTACACAAACCCAGGATGGCGAGCTAGTTTCATTTGAATTGCTTACTTGCTATACTACCTTGGTGTTTGTTAATGAATTTGCTGGATTAGGAAGAGTTTATTATTTATATAGCATTTATTTATGTCTATGAAGTGGGATGTTTCGAGTGTTTGTAGAATTTTTCATATGCTTTTTACTTTTAAAAATTTTTATTTTTATGCCTCATTAATTATAAGGATTCTACATTAAATTTTATAGATAAAAATTAAAATTATTTTCACTTGACCCAATAAACCATTAGAGTCTTATAAAAAATTCCTACAAAATATAAGCACCTATTACCATTCCTAACATATACTTACTAATATTAAGGTTCAATCTTTAATTTAAAATTTAAAATTTTTAACTATTAAATCACTTTTTAAAAAGTAACATTTAAAATGTTATGTAAAAACTAAATTAATA